GCTCTGTTTTTGGCGACGTCTTTTTCCTTTTTTGTGTTTTCGGCGGCTTCTTTTTGCTTTTTGGCGTTTTCGCGCGGGCTACGATAAAACAAAAGAGGCGGCTTGGGAGGGGAAACGAAAAAAAAGAAACAAAAGATGCGGCTTGGGCGGGGAAACGAAGAAAAAAAAAAGTCTGAGGGCCTGCCCGCCCGCCCACATACGCAAACACACACACACACACACTAATATTATATGTTAGTATTAGAATTTGAAGCTTGCTCACAGTGGTTGTGGTTGGGTCGGGGTTTGAACCCACACACAGATTTTGAAATACCCAATTGCTCGATGAGATAACTGCTGAGGTGGATTGGGTCCCTGTCTGATTTTGGGGATTGCTTTCTTTTAAAGTGTATCCGACGTCAGGTTGCTGGCACGTCAGGATGTGCCTGTGTCCGAACCCTAACGTTACACAATGTGGCAAGCGGGTCCAGACCTGCAATTTTCAAGCGCCAACTTTGGCGATTTTTCGTGCTCAGAGGAATAAATAAAAAAATCTGAATTTTCAGATTCTGCAAATTAGATTCCGCTCTTTCTAGAAAAAAACTATTAGAAAAATATAATTAAAAAAAAACAGAAAACCGTGAAATATTTGTTGTGTTTTCATTTTTTACCGCCCTACAACGTGTGGGCCAACAGAGAAAATATCCCAACTTCCGCGATTCTCAGCGCTGAGAAGAAAAACTCAAATCCGCTGAAAATTTAAGGGTCTGCAGGTTTGGTCTTAATCTTTCCAGGAAAAATGTTAAAACAAAAAACAGACCCATTTAGGCCACAAAATAAATGCCGCACCAAATGGTCTCATTTCCCATTCTTGGCACTTTACCTCGTGTGGCAAGTGCCTATGTGTCCGAACCCTAACGTTGTACAGTGTGGCAGGCGGATCCAGTCCTGGAATTTTAGAACCGCCAACTTTGGCGATTTTTCGTGCTCAGATAATTGATGAAAAGATCTGAAATTTTTAGATCCAGTAGATCAGATTGCGTTCTTTCTAGAAAAAATATCAAAAAAAAAAAAAAAAAAACGTGAAACAAACGCCGCGGCAATTCATTGTGTTTTTATTTTTTACCCCTCTACGACGTGTGGGCCAATGGAAAACGTACCCCAACTTCCGCGATTTGTAGCGCTCAGAAAAATGACTCAAATCTGCTGAAAATTTAAGGGTCTGCAGGTTTGGTCTTGATCTTTCCATGAAAAATACTTAAAAAAAAAGAAAAACGTTTTAACTAAAAAAAAAAAAACAAG